ACACCCCAGGCACACATCACTGCTCTGAAGCCTGACTTCTTTTTATTCATAACAGGTCTAACATCGGTAGCTGCCACACAACTTCAGTGATCCTGATAAGACTCTTTGACCCTTATCCTCAAATTTTTGAATGAGAATATTTTAATCCTAATACCCTTTCCAACCTTTTCTCCTCTCATGAAACTGTTTAACAGGATGATATTTCTGCAAGAGGAGTCCAACAATCACCACCTTGCTTCACAAAAGTGAGATCTTACTAAAAGGAGCAAGCTTTAATTTGAAAGGCCCTCTAACACAAAGAAAAAGGATTTTAATTAGCCTGAAGTCCAGGGAATTGTAATTTCGGTATGTAATATAGTTATCATCTATAACTCTGCTTTGCAAACTGGCCTTGCTATAAAGCCACTTTACAAACAAAGTGGTCTTGCTACCACTAGATGTCAGTTTTACACACTTTAAAATGGATAAAAATCTTAATTCTCCATTCACAATAGAAACACATTTCTTTATTATGCCATTCTTTCTGGAATTAACTTTAATGATTCCACATTGTATTTACCACCTTGTCTTCTGCTTTTCTCTCCCATGGGGCGCAGATCTCCTTTATCTAAGAAAAAAAGACCTAAAAAATTTCCACTATGCATTTATTCAATTACTTACTCAGTCTAAGACATTCTCACAAATTTTGCCAGATGTCACTGGCAAAATTCTATAGTTCAGGTCATATTTCTAAAGGATTGCACTGAGATCTTATTCTTAATCTGTAAGGATATGTTTGTACTCCATAAAAAATGCCAAATCTTCTCTAATTACAGACTACAATGCCAGATAATAGAAGATAACTTCGACATGTATCATTACAATTCTATTTTTTTCTCATATTTTTACTCATATTGACTACCTAAATGTAGATCACTTGTCTCTACACTCCAAATTTCTGTCTCTCAGAAATAAAAATAGTAGTAGACTCCTCCTAATCCTGGCTTTTTGCATTTCTTTTTGTAAATACAAAACAGATTTGATAAAAATAAACAGGTTTTAACATAAAAAGTTGATCCTGATGAGTACAGAGCTTTTATAATATATATATTATGCATTTGCTTTGCCATAACAACAGGAAATTTTGGGACACAATAAATCTGGGGTTTCGCTTCCCCTTAAAAACAAAACAAAACAAAAAAACCAAGAGGGAGCCAAATTCTTTGTATTCTATCATGTTCAGCTACATATACAAAGGTATATATTCTACTCTATGTACATGCACACACAAGAACAACAAACTCATTGCACAGCAGACCTCTCCAAACCAGTCCATGCTCAGAGCTGGCAATGATACAGAACATAACTCAATGTTATAAGGTAAAGACAAGACTGTCACCTTACATGCTGTTTTATTGCGCAGATACTGACAACTTACCTAGCAACTCAATATGTTTGTTTAACATAAAGTCAAGGGAATCTCCTCATTGTCATTCACATCAAACTTCAGCTTTTTCAGACTCCTACTGATCCTTCAGAGCTCTCCTGGATTTTTCAGGTATTATTTGTACCTGCAGCCACAACCATCTTACACAACTATATCAACAACCTTCTTCAAAGACATCTAAAATCTTTTTTGAGGCCATTACTCAACTAAAATATCCCTTATCACAAGTACAGCTAGTAACTGTGAAAGCATGACCAAAAAAATCTCCAAAGCAAACCTGGAGGCCAAAGCATATCAAGTCCCATAACTTCCAACAGCTGCATTTGTGGCTTGGAAGCCTTTCTTATTGAAGTGCTAAATCTGGGGCAGGTCTTATGCGCTACACACTGTGTTCCAACATTTACTCCCATGCAAGAGCCCCATTCCCTTTACCTTCCTGCCAGTTCCTCAAACCAGGATCCCATTTGCATGCTAACTACCCCTTATCCACCTACCAGTCATCCTCTACATACCCCTAAATGTGCAAATTGCCTTAAGTTCCACGTAGCCAAGGCAGGTAAGCCACCTACACACTTTCTGGCCATTTGCAAAGCATGTGTACAGAGCCCAAGCACCTCAGACAAATCAGTTCACTGTGTCTGCACTGCACAGTCCACATGCATGACTCACTCTAAACTTCTTCAGACAAAAATGCAGAAAACCTACTTACAGGTCTGTGGCCTATGATGGTGCAGGAAATTTGTTTCTCTTTGATGTAAGGCTTTCTCTTCCTCAGCACTCATACTGGCAAGCAGCTACAGCAGGATAGGCTCAGATCCAAGATATTCCTCTGCAAATAAAGGAATAAGAGACACACCTCAAACATTTGCACCACTGCAGCATTTCTCCCTTTCCATGATGCTATCTGCAAACAAAGCTGGCTGGCCTGATTTGCAAGCTAAGGGTTTTGGTTACTCTTAGCTACTGAGCTAAGTATTTTATGGCAGGTGAATGAAGCAGACACCAGAAAAAGAGGGATTCAATAGCAAATTTGAAAATAACGTAATTTTTAGATGCTTTCTAAATTGCACTCTAACATGAAACCATTAATACAACAAACCCAAACACTTCAATCTGTCCCTTTAGTTCCTCATTGTATATTTGGCAACTCACATACCCGAGGAAAGAAACTACTTTAACTTCTCTATCACATATATTCATTTGGAATAGATTCCATTCATGCTAATATGAATCACTAACAATGTATATCACAAGCAACAACAGGAGCAATGTGTGGTTAAAATCTAGAAGAATTAGTCATCATCTTACAGAAGCTAACATGCAATTTGAAAAATGTTTAGTTAGCAAGATATTTTTGTACTCTTTCGTAAGACTAGAATTTTGTTGCTAAAATGCAGCAGCAGCTCTTAGTTGCAATGAATGGTACAATTTACTGGGAGAGAGGAAAAAAAAACAAAACCACAACGAACAACAAAACAACCAAATATAGAAAATAAGATATTATTCAGGTGGACCCATAGATGCCAGTCTCCTCAAATTTCAGGGAGGCTCATAGCTTAATCCCCTTATTTGAAAACTGTCTCAGGGAAAGAAAGGAGAAAAAAAGAGAAAAAAAAGAGGAAAAAAAAAAAAAAAAGGAATCAAGTTAAAACCCTCAACAGCATAAGAAGGGCTTAGAACCACATCTTCATCCTCTATCAAGTTCAACTGCTAGATTAAAAAGTGCTTGATCTGACTAAGACTGGCCTGTGTAGAAAGACCTGCCTACAGCAGAGCACTGCTCAGGCAAACTTCAGCTAGGAAGAGCAGTGAGAACTACACAAGCTGTTTGGGTGCTACCACCAAGCAATTATACCTCACCAATTTTAAAACACTCAATAGAAGTTTTAAATAGTCTATTTTGCAAATAAAATGAAGTAAACTAAAGTCAAATGCTTACAACAAAAAGCATAGCTCCTTCCCCCCCCCCTTATTTTAAAAGTTGCAATAACAGGGATGGAAATGCCTAATAATACTGCTGGTCATTGATCTGAAGGGGCAATTTGGTGAGTCATCATTACAGATTATGAAGTCTGAATGAGCTCAGATGGGCCTGTATGTCAATCAGACAGCTCAATGCAGTTTTAAATTACCTCAGGAATGTGGCAATTTCTAAATCTGCTAGATCATCTGCTCATTACCATGTGTACTACATGTAGCTATGCAGCTGCTTTTTGTTACAGTATAATTACAGGCTAAGTATTGAACATAGGGAGTTCTCTACTGTCTGAAATCGCATATTTTCACAACAAATCTATCAAAGACCTTGAAGAAATACAGAGATTCACTTAAATACAGATTGATGAGGGAATCAGCAATCTTATATGTTCTCCACTTCACCTCCATGTCTCATACACTTGTTATTACTATCTCAGTTTGTATGCCTGATATAAAGTCATCTGTCATGCTGATGAGACCATGAGAGAAAAGGCTTTGGAATGAGACTAATGGCTGGGGAGCTGATTCATAAAAACAGAGTCCAGCAAATATTAACCATGTTACAATGAACTCAGTATCACTGAAGTCACTGAGAAGTATCCATTTTGAGAGATTTCTCACCCATTACAGGTGCCTAGGAAGTCTCAGGAAACAAGCAAATTAATTTCTTCTTGCTAACACCAAAATAGAAGGAGAGTTAGAATCAAGTCTATTAAATTGACACATTTTCCATCTGACCCAACCTCTGTTGAAATCTATGCTGAGAAAGAGGGCATTTTAACATTAGCATGTTTCTGGACTGAAACCAGGTGATCACGCACTTGAACTGGGTACAATCCAGAGATTTCACTGGAAATTTTGCACTAAAGGAAAAACTGTCTTAAAACTCTGACTTAAATTTGGCTGCAAGCTGCACCCTAGCCTTAACATCAGATGTACTGCTGCTTTAGTGCAGTGCATGGCAGGTTCCGGTGAAAGCTACAGGGAGTTACACAAACTATGGAAAGGGTTCAGATAAACTCTTCCCAGTAGCCAGGTTAGTCTGTGCAGCATTAGAATGGGCCCTGTATGTGGCACACTACAAATTCTGTTTCTTTTTCATCCCCAGTTTTTCTTGGGTTGAGGAGTCATGCAGAAGTTTAACGGAAGAAGAGACCAAACTGGGAGTTAATAGTCTCCCAACTACTGTTATAATAATCTTCCACTCTGCCATTGTTACACTAATCTGCTGAATCAGTAAAAAAGCCCTCAAAGAAATTCTGTTGTAGAGCTGGAAAAGACCATATAAAATGGCTTGCTTATAATTTTTTGAATTATTCATTAACCAGCATAATGTAATCTGCCACATGCCCAGCTGCATTCCAGTTTACAATGTAGTGTGTGGTACAAGCTTTCCAGAAGTGTTACAACAGGCCAGTAATAAAAAGTTAAACATTAACCACAAGGAGACAACCATGTAGCTACAAAGCTAGCAACTATTTTTCAGGTCTTTGCTTAGTTCACTATTAAAAATATCATGCCATTCTTTTAGTGGATTTGTCTTGATTCAATTTATATTTATTTACAACAATACAAAACCTGTTTTCTCTCATTTCAGAATCTATCAGATTATGAGCTGAGCCGATTCAAAATAATGCACCAGCCGTAAGTTTCTCATTATTTTCTGCATTAAATGACAAATACTCTGTTGTACTCTGACAGTTTCTCTGATAATAAATAAGGGGAAAAGAGAATTGAAACCTCCTGCTCATGTGAAGGGCATTACACGATAGGGGTTCAACTTCCTCAGGATTAGGATCCTGGAAGGTTTACAAGACCTGTGGTTCAGATCAGCTGACAGGCATGTCTCTTCTGCAACAGCTGCTGGACAATATTCTTCCTCAGAACAGACAGGGGCAACCTTAATATGAGGAAAAGTACAATTTTTACTTCTTCCAAAATACAAAAGCTTTTATTTGTGTAGTCATTGAGGCCATATTTTCAGAATTGGTTCATCTGTTTATTAGGGATCACTTTAAGTGATCAGATTGATAAAAAATGTTGAATGCTATGTTGAAAGTTATTTAAATAGAATTCAAATATAGTACTGAATTAGCAAATATAGATATAAAGTTAGGAAATGCCTTCATGTAGTTTATGACAAGTCAAGTTCAGTGAGAAGGATAAGGATATCCCTTGGGTTCTAGTATATTATTTTTTTTGCTTTACTGCACAGCAATAATACTAGGGAGTTTTCTCTATGAGCCAATGAAATCAAGAAGAACTCAGTTTAATATGGAGTGAGTGTGGATGTCAGGTTCCTAGCATCAACTTTCACTCTAAAATCTGTTGCTCTCACATCTTACTACTTGCAAAAATTGCCTGAGTTTCTAGCACCCAGATAATTGCATGTTTGAACTGTGAAAGGTCTACAATGATCTTCCTAAGCCAGGTGAACAGATCTGCTCATACAGCAGGTGATGGACCAAACCACTAAGGATGGCTAAACAGAAAAATAGTAATTGCCAGACAAGGTGATACCAAAATTCTGTGTTTCTCTTGGCAGTGGCTGGTGCTTCAGGTCTCTGCAAGTTTCCTTATGGCACTTTATTAGACAGAAACTAGGTCCCCTGATGTGCCATCAAAAGCCTTTTGCCTTTCCTGTTCATATTTTTCATGGGGGATAGAATAACCTTGGAAAAAAAGACAGAATGTTTGCTCTGGGAAGCTTACTGTAGTAATTATACTTTACACTCTGAAATAAACATTTTTTGCTCTACAATTTTCTTTAAGACTTTTACTATATTCTGTTAATTCAATTAGCATTGGCTTTGACAGCCTAATGTCAGGCTGATATAAAGTAGTTCTCAGAACATTGAAAGTCGCAGGTCTATCTAGCTTGCTTCTGAGCAACTGCTGAATATAGTAGCGAAATTATCAAGCTGAAGTCTTTACTATCCTATCTGTGAAATGCAATAATGAAAGATTCCTTCCACATTTCCCAAAACAACAGAAGAGAGGAGCTGCTTTCAAACATGGGACAGTGGAGTACTAAGGCACCAGTCCAAACCTGCGCTGGAACTGGCTCCCAGGGTTGTGCAACATGCTGCTCTCACAGGTTTATATGTTTTCAACAGCCCTGATATCATGTTGAAATCTTGAGCTTTGCTTAAAGCCGTTTCTCCTGCAGAAGCACCCTTGTATTTTTTCACTCCACATAGCTGACTCAGTTGATACACTTTCACCCTGATAGCTTGGGGTCACCCAGAACACTGAGCATGTTTGCTCTCAAAAACTGCAGTGCAACAGCACTTTCCAGATCATTCCCACCAGGGAAGTTTCAAACATCCCACTGACTATGGTCATGGGGTCATTTATTCAGTGTTAAAACTTATGCTAGGAAGAATGCTGTCTAGAATGTCACACTACATTCAGGAGCACTCTTTGAGAGCAGATAACAAAATCAACCTCATACCACAGATATTTCAGAATACTTGAACTTAAGTGCCATATTACTTTTTTTTTTTTTTTTTTTTTTTTTTAAATATATGTAAGCAGTGCAAATAAAATTTGTATTTGTAACTGTATTCAGCAAAACTGGCATATAAGCTGTAGCTCAATAATACACATTCATAATTTGGAAACACATACTGAGAAAGAAATGTAATTATAGCTCAATCACCTCAATGCAGATAGTCCAAGACTTATAATATCAGATGTTTATGCAGAAGTTGTTTCACAATGCTTTCAGATAACTTGAGTTTTGCTTTCCCAGGGACCATGAAATTAAAAGGCCTTCTTTACAGCTAATGTGATTAGAAATTAATTCCAAATCAAATTCAAAACATATTTTGCTCTCAAGTCATGAGCTCTGGGGACTGTTTTCCAAAATCATGACTGGAGTCTTTCATCAACAAAATTGGCTTTGACAGTGTAATGACAGACTGATGTAAACTAGTTCTCTCTGCCACATGTGCACACTCAGAAATCTCCTGTGGCTGTATTGGATTACTAGGCAAATCTGAAAACTTCACCTGCAAATCAGGGTGTGACATGTCAGTTCTTGAGCTTACCACTTGTATGTAGGAACAAGCAGTTAAGGAAGATTCAGGATAATAAGTGAGCTGTGATAGGGAACACATAATTACAAGCTTTGTTTAATTATGGTGCAGGCAGCATTTGAATTCCTTCTCTTGAAATAAACAGCCACAAATTTTTCACTGCTGTAAAACTGTTACTAGTTTCTTTAACCAGGAATTTACAATATATGCAGAAAAGTTTGCTACTGAAAAATCAAGTAAGTGTTCTGTAGTCAAAACTGAATTCTAACATCTATTTTTCATTTATTCATAATTGTTAATAGCTCCAGACTGGAATTTTTCATCCCTGCCTTCCAAGCACAGCCACTCTCTTTTCCTGAGACATATGAATAATTTCTCTATTGTAACAGATGTTACATACCAGGAAAGTACCTTTGTAATGCTGAGATCTTCCACTTGAAATGTCTGCACTCACATAACTCAAACTTCAAGAGCCAGGAACATTACACATTACCTCCTTTTTTGTCCTCCTTCTTCCACCTGCCTTTTCTCTTTCACTCCTTAAGGAAGGTAAACAATCTCATGTGGAAAACTCATTTTTCAGGTGTTTCACAGCAAGCAGCATTTAAATCCATCTACAAATTTTCCTTACACCAGGTGCAAAGGCCCGGATCCCTCTTGCTCCTTTCGTAGCCAGATCAGTAGAGAGTTCACAAGGCACAAGCTTTTGGAATTATGCTGTCCAATAATCACTAAACCTGAATTCCATAAATGTGGATTTGAGAGCTAGCTTTGCCACAGACTTCCTAAATAAACTTGGCCAAATTATTTTAGCATTCCCTGCTTCCTTTCCCACCTGCAAAGTATAAATAATAGCATTTCCCTGTCTCACAGGCATGTTATAATGGAAAAGCATCAGGAATTGTGATGCCTTTATTTAAAATGGAAAGGAAAACATTCTGACTGCACTGCAGGTGAAAGGTGCATGTTGCTTCCCAAGGTCCCATTCACCAGCTGTGATGCCACAGGGCCACAGCAGTTCCATGCACCGGGGACATCTGAATATTGTGGGGAAAACTAACCAAGCTGTGGCTTATGCTGCCATCACTGCAGCTGCCAGAGACACCTCTGTGCTGCCAGAGGTCACCTCAGGCTTGTGGGCTACAAAACATGCTTCAAAGGGCAAAAAAGCCTCTGCTAGAAAAATTAATACTACTCTACTCATGGCAGAGATTTATACCCAGTTTTTCTCAACAACTTAGTCAGACCCTTCAGTGCATTTTTTACTAGCTTATGCTTCCAGTGAGAATCATTGTCTCAAACAACACACACATGCTTAATTTATTTTCTTCTGTTACATTTTTCTTTCTTTTTTAAAATACAAGAAAATCAAAGGCATAAACATTAAGACAAAAATTAAAATTAATAAAACAAAGGAGAAGTCAATAAATTAATTAGTAGACTTCTGACAGGCTATGATGACATTCAAATTTCACATGTTGAGAATTTGCTACTGCTGTTTGGAGTGGGGGATTACATTTAAAAAACTATTTATATTACTATAAAATTTATTCTTAGTTCATAAATGTAGGTGTGCAACATATTACTTTCAGTTTCATTTTGAAACACCTTAATTTCTTGCTCCTATATTTTTATTTCTGTGGATTAATTTGTGTCACTCATGAGAAATCCTAATAAAAACACTAATAAAATCAATGAGATTTGCGTGAAAATTAGACTAATTCCTTAAGACATAATAAAGTCAAAGAGCTTTTGCTTTTTTTTTAAGTGAGATGCAGCAGTACAGGAATCTTGTGACGATCTGCATTTGAACTTCCCCACTCCAGAGAAACCCCCAAGGTGAAAAAGCAAAGGTGGTAGATTACTTTTATCCCAATACTTAGTAAGCAGGAAAGGTTTTCCCCTTTCCTTGGGATATACCGTAATGGGCTTTTAATTACCCTATAGCCTTTAAATACCAGTGCTGACTCCAGTTTAATGTTTTATGTCTAAACACATAGATTTAGTTCCTTGCTTTCCTTAGTTTTTGATGTAGCTTAACTGGAAAGGCCAGGACTGCAAATTTAGAAGATACCTCTTCATACAGTGACTTCCCAAAAAAATGACACTTAAAAGACACCAAAAATGTTTCCAGTCTGTAATCACTCTAGTGACACAGAAACATACAGGGAATTTCCTTGGTAGCTATATACACTCCAATGGAAAAAAAAAATGTAGCTGAATTTGACTTTAAATCACATAGCTACATATTACATACTCACTCTTAGTATAGAAAGGCTGTGACAAAAGCCTACTCAGACATCAAATATTTATAGAGGCAGCCATTGCCTGCTGATTAGAATTAATTGTGACTATTCTGCAGTTCACAGAAGGATCTAGGAAATATTTGGACTCCAAGAGACTGTAAATAAAACAGCAATTCAACCTTTGAAGAAGATACTATAAATAGCAGAAATACAGTTCTCTCAAAAGTTGAAAATATACAAAAATATACAAGTCTGTATTTTCTGATCAAGTCTCGGCATCCAAATAGCAATGTCAGCAGCTCAGATGTTATCAAGCTGCAGTATCACAGCTGTGGTTAAAGTGGAAACTAACTTGGTG